AGTTGGTATTGTTTTTATCAAGTTTTGAAGATCATTATCTTGACAGGTCCATGCCAACTCAGTGCTTTCTATAACAATTCATTACTCTTTAAATTATCAGAGTAGTTTTTGTAAATATATAACGAATAGTTTTTGTAAAATTAGTAATGTTAATAGCAAATTTTTCAATAAACAATGAGTGACCACTGCATAGTTAGTGCTGCTTATGTTAGAAGATAAGTAACTATTTGTCTGTAATTTTTTAGTGCAGATATTAATCACTTTAAATGTAACGATAACAATAACAGAGTTATATTTCTTGATTAAAAGTAATAAATATAACTGAATCTTTTGTGTTGGACTTGAAAATATACTCTAACATATAGAATACATGTGCATGAGATAAGCGACATCGAACTGTTAAGAAAAGGATCTTCAATATTTGATGAAAATGTTACCAACATAGTACTATTAATAATAATTTAAATGTGTGTAAAAAGAAATGTGAAATCCAAACAAAATTACTTAAAAAAAAAAGAAAAAAGCGCCAAGTACATGCGTTCTAGCGTTTGTTCCGCAAATATAGATTTAAAAAAATGTTATAAAAAATAAGGACCAAGAAAATAATATGGGATGTTATGTTTTAAATTAACTTCCCAAAAATGATTTCATTGCATGGAAAAAAATATTCAGGAAAAATTACTAATGCAAATTTGTACAAAATGTTACTTTTTAATCTTTTTAAAAAAAGTAATGAAATCAAAAAGTTACGCCAACTGATAATGTAAAAATATATTGTACAAAACATGAAAAACGAAGCAACGAAAACAAATAAAATTAAAAATAATAAAACAATGAAAAATAAAATTAGATTAAGATTTAGACAAAAATATTTGGCGTACCCAGGATGCATTAACAAAAGTTGTAATAGATTATACATTTCAATCTTCTAATCATTGATACATTTTATAATTATATAATGACAATCTATATTTCTGAAAGTTAATATTGAATGTGTTAACACTATTTATATATTTGACAGTTTATAATATGTTATAATATCTGGGTACGCCAAGTGTTTTTGTCTAAATCTTAATTTTATTTTTCATTGTTTTATTATTTTTAATTTTATTTACTTTCGTTGCTTCGTTTTTCATGTCTTGTATAATATATTTTCGCATTATCAGTTGACGTAACTTTTGATTTCATTACTTTTTTTTTAAAAAGTTAAAAAGTAACATTTTTTGTACAAACTTGCATTAATATTGGGGACTTGAATAAGTTCTCGCTGTTTCCCGACAGATGGTGTTATCTTAGCCTTTTTGCATCAGGCAATACTATAGCCAACTTCATCGTAAAGCTCCACCATTAGGCTCGAAGTGATAGTATATGTTATTTCGCCGAAACGTAAATAACATATTTTTTCATAGCGTTAAATGTGTCGAATTTCGTGCCAAAAAAAGAGTATTTGCGGGGAATTTTACTGCATTACTTTTTTCAAAAAAAATCTGCAGCTGAAGCACATAGAATTCTTGTGGAGACTTATGGCGACCATGCTCTGTCGGAAACAACATGTAGAGATTAGTTTAGACGCTTTAAAAATAATGATTTTGATGTTGAAGATAAAGAATGCTCTGGCGCACCGAAAAAGTTTGAAGACGAAGAATTGGAAGCATTATTCGATGAAGACCCATATCAGACGTAAAATGGACTTGCAGAATCATTAGGAGTTGATCACACAACAGTTGCCAAACGTTTAAAAGGATTAGGAATTATTCAAAAGCAAGAAAATTGGGTGCCGTACGAATTGAAGCTGAGAGATATTGAACGGCGTTTTTTCACGTACGAACAGCTGCTCCAACGGCAAAAAAGGAAAGGTTTTTTGCATCGTGTCGTGATTGGCGATGAAAAGTGGATACACTACGATAACCCGAAGCGTAGAAAATCGTGAGGTAAGCCCGGCCATGCATCAACATCGACGGCAAAGCTGAATATCCATGGTTCCAAGCTCATGCTCTGTATTTGGTGGGATCAGCTGGGTGTAGTATATTATGAGCTTCTCAAACCCAACGAAACCATCACGGGAGATCGCTATCGACTACAATTGATGCGTTTGAGTCGAGCATTGAAGGAAAAACAGCCGCAGTATGAGGAGAGATACGACAAAGTAATTTTGCAGCATATCAACGCTCGGCCACATGTTGCAAAACCGGTCAAAACCTACTTGGAAACGCTCAAATGGGAAGTCCTACCTCACCCGCCGTATTCACCGGACATTGTTTCTTCCGATTACCACTTGTTCCGATCGATGACTCATGGCTTGGCTGAGCAGCACTTCCATTCTTATGAAGATGCCAAAAAATGGATCGATTCGTGGATAACCTCAAAAGATGAGTCGTTCTTTCGACATGGTATTCGTATGCTGCCAGAAACATGGGAGAAAGTAGTGGCTAGCGATGGACAATACTTCCAATGACATGTTCTTTACTAATTTTTTAAAATAAAATATTCATTTTCACGAAAAAACAGCGAGAACTTATTCAAGTTCCCAATAATTTTTCCTGAATATTTTTTTCCATGCAATGAAATCATTTTTGAGAAGTTTAGAACATTAATTTAAAACATAACATCCCATATTATTTTCTTGGTCCTTATTCTTTTATAACATTTTTTTAAATTTATATTTGCAGAACAAACCCTGAAACGCGTGTACTTGGCGCTTTTTTTTCTTTTTTTTTTTTAAGTAATTTTGTTTCGATATTAACTTTCCAGAAATATTCACTGTCATTATAAATCTATAAAATATATCAACGCAATTATTGGCAAATTAAAATGTACAATCTATTGCACTTTTATTTTTATGTGACATGGGCACGCCAAGTGTTTTTTGTATAAATTTAAATTTTGTTTTTTTTGTACTAATTTTTTTGTAACCAATTTTTTGTGTAATATAATTTTTTTATTCTTGGTTACAGAATAAAATTTTTGTTATTATTCGTGTCAAGAGGAAACATCAAGAATTTAACATCTTTGCTCCAAATTATTTCTTTGTTTTAATGTTAACTATGTTTTATATTTATCATAACATTGTACTTAATATATATAAATATATATATATATATATATAAAAAGGAAACATTCATATTATATAAAAAATTTAATATTTTTTGCTCCAAATTACTTCTTTGTTTTAAAGTTAACTATTTTTTATATATTTTCTCGTTATCAGTTGCAATTTTCAATTTCACTTTCACTACTTTTTATTATAATTTATTATAACATTTTACTTAATATAAAAATTATTTCAGTTTGGTTTATAATAACATTATACTTAATATATCCAATTTTCTTTTTAGATTGGGCTATCTTCGTTTCAAATTAATTTTCTTTATCTCATTTTTTGTCATATTTTGTATAATTTATTTTTATTTGATCTATCTGATACTTTTTTTTATTGAAAATGGTTTTAATAATATTTTCTATTTTTGTAACATTTTTAGATTTGTTATTTTATAAATAAAATATTAAATAAAATAGGAGTATAAATAAGTTTCCGCCGTTTGACAAAAGATGGCCCCACTAGAAGGTTATGTTGAAATTGTCAGATGTAAAACGTAATATCGTAAGTTTGGACATCTGGTAAGAACATAACCTTGAAGTATTAGTGACTCCGTATCAGCAACACATAATTTATTTCGTGCGAATATGTCAAGTTTTGTGCCGAATAAGCGTCATTTGCGGGAACTTTTGATTTACTTCTTTAATTTGAAGAAATCTGCAGCTGAGGCGCATCGATTGCTTGTAGAAGCATATGGTGAGATTGCTTTAAGTGAGAGAAGTTGTCGTGAGTGGTTTCAAAAGTTTAAAAACGGTGAGTTTGACGTGGAAGACAAAGAACGTAGTGGAAGGCCCAAAGTGTACGAAGACACGGAATTGGAAGCATTATTGGAGGAAGATTCGTGCCAAACGCAAGAACTTGCACTTACATTAGAAGTAACTCAACAAGCAATTTCACATCGTTTAAAATCGTTGGGAATGATTCAAAAACAAGGAAATTAGGTTCCATATGAACTGAAGCTGAGAGACGTTGAACGCCGATTTTTCACGTGTGAAATGCTGCTTGCCAGGCATAAAAGAAAGGGTTTTTTGCATCGTATAGTCACTGGTGATGAAAAATGGATCCACTACGATAACCAAAGAAAAAAGAGAAGAAGAAAGAAGAGAAGAAGAAAGAAGAGAAAATCATGGGGACCACCTGGCCATGCTTCAACAGCTCGACAGCCAAACTGAATATTCATGGAAAAAACTCATGCTGTGTATTTGGTGGGATCAGCTTGGTGTCATGTATTATGAGTTGCTCAAACCAAGCGAAACCATTACTGGAACTCTCTACCGAACACAATTAATGAGATTGAGCCGAGCACTCAAGGAAAAACGCACCCATTACTACTCCAGACATGACAAAATTATTCTCCTACATGACAACGCTCGGCCACATATTGCAAAATCGGTCATAACCTATTTGGAAACACTTAATTGGGAAGTCCTACCCCACCCGCCGAATTCACCAGACATTGTCCCTTCCGATTATCATTTGTTCCGGTCGATGGCACATGGCCTGTCTAAGCAGCACTTTACATCATATAAAGATACTAAAAATTGGGTCGATTCGTGGATAGCCTCAAAAGATGAAGAGTTCTTCCGACGTGGTATCCGAATGCTGCCAGAAAAATGGGAAAAAGTAGTGGCTAGTGATGGACAATACTTTGAATAAAACGTAATGTACCGTTCTTTCACAATAAATTCCTAATTTTTGATAGAAAACGGCGGAAACTTATTTGTATTCCTAATATTTTTTATAAGAGCATTTGCTTTTGTAAATGTAAAATAATTCCACATGAAGTGCGTGAACTTGGCGCCTTTTTACCTTTTTTTTTTTAAAAGGTTAGTTTGTACGGATATTTATTAACATGAGACTTAATAGTAGAGACTTGCGTTAGTAACATGTGTGAAATACATACCCATCAGAACCCATTGATAAGCGATATATAACCACGAGATATCATTGTTTTTTTTTCTCGTTAGTCTGGCTGTCATCAGTAAATCAAATATATTCGCGAGAGTAGAAGGAATCCACCTGCGACGTTGTACGAATACGTCTGTAAAAACTTCCGGTGCATGAGTATACGCATCACTAGCTGCTGAATACTCGACCTGATAAAATCAAATTGTAACAATAGATTATGGTTATTTATTTATTGCTTTATGTCTTTTTCATTCTTTAGTATTCTTCAAGTTGATTACTTACTCGTGAACCCACTTGGAGCAACAATGTGCAGAGCCATCGATCCTCACCTTGATCGTACTGAATGTAGTGTCTGGCCTCGGTTGACTTGGTGGCGTATTTTGCCATCACATTATTTTGCATCAATGCATTCGCTCTAAACAAGGAGAAACAACCAGGACTACACAGAACACAACCGATCGTGTGCTCCGTAGATTTCTGTAGCCAATGACCGATAGCATACTCGAACTTTTGTATCCAAACTATTGGACCTATACATAAGAAAACGTAAAAATCTAAAAGATCCTAACAATAAATGTTACATAAAATTTTAAGATCCTATCTCATTTAGATTAAAATATTTAACATCAATTTATCCAATCCTGTAGACTATACCTGATCCGATTGGATGTATCCGACCACATGCAGCACCGAGATCTTTATCTTTTTTCATTAAATCTACCAGAACTTTAACAGCCGATGGTTGAAAGTCAATGTCCCCATCTAGCGTAAGAATGTATGTGTTCTCAGCGATGATCTCTTTCCGATTTACGTCGATTGGCAATGCCATCAAACGATAGCCCAGAAGATAATACATGTACATGACCTAGATGATACAACAATAACGATTTTAAGAATTTATAATTATATGATCTTAATAAGAACTTGATAAAATATCTATTTATTCATTTTATATGTTTCTTATGCATCTATATATTTTTATCTCTATTCCCATACCTGGCTCCATCGTTTTCTTTGTCTAATCTTATTACTATCCTTTAGATGAACTATCAGTTGAGTTTTTCCTGGTAATGTCCACATGAGACGACCACCATAAGGTGTTGGGTATTTGTTGGGAGGCGAAGAACGCATATACATGTTCTCCACATTTCTTTGAACCGTCTCCACCAGCATTACTACATATTGATTGACTTGTGTCTCATTCTCATCGTGGTCACATAAACCAATACAGCCATGCATGCAACAAAACGCGTCGTCGAAGAAAATATGCGCTGATGAAAAAAAATGCAGAATATTTTGTATTCGACAAACATTCGATCAATTTTATAATTGTAGATTCGAAAATATAGATTCTTAGCTAAAATAAAGGGAAAATCAGAAATTTTAATTAAAAGATTAAATTAATATAATAATAAAACTCATTATATTAACTCTCTTATATTAATATAATAATAAACTCATATAATATATACTGCGTACTCAATTTCAAACGTAATAGGTAAAAAATCTCGAAAACTATGAAAGCTATTAAAAAAAGCTAAAACACCTGTTCCATGATTTCGAAGGGTAAAGAGAATGGTAGTATTAGTTTTTTATTTAGAGGGCATTTTCAAGGTCAGTTGAAGGTCTACGTAATTTTTTTAAATAGAAAACCCAATTTTTTTATTATATCATCTTTTTATACCAATTAATTTTAACAACTTTTGTTTGAAACATTTCTTTATTCGCCTAATATTTTTTGAAATATTTAAGGAAAACTTGGTAACTTTTTCAACATTTAACTTACGATATCTCGCTAACTATTCGTCGAAAGAAAAAATAGTATTAGACTTTATTTACTATCAAGAATATATTACTATAATAGTACCCTAATTTTTGTTAACTTAATCGTTAACTTATCGACTTCTGGAAATTTCAAAATTATTAAATTATTAAATATAAAAATTATTAAATATAAAAATAAAAATAATTGAATATATAGGGTGTCCCAAAAGTAGAGGACTACCCTAATAACTCTGCAGTATTAAAATTTCAAGGAAAATGATCTAAATAAAAGTTGTAGGGATTTAAGTGAGCTACCATATGATGACTTTGACTTTGACCTTGACCTCTATTTTAAGATCAATTGAAGATCAACTTGCGTTTTTTAAACAGGAACCCTTATTTTTTATTGCACTGTTTTTTTCTACTAGTTAATTTGAACAACTTTTGTCTAAAATATTTTTTTATTTGTCTAATATTTTTTGAGATATTTGAGAAAAACTTGATAACTTTTTCAATATTTAACTTACGATATCTCGCTAACTATTTGTCGGAAGAAAGTAGTACTAGACTTTCTTGCTTTATTTAGTCTTAAGAATATATTATTACAATAGCGCCCTGACTTTTGTTAACTTACTGACTTTTAGAAATTTCAAAATCACCAAATTAACAAAAATCAGGGCGCTATTGTAACAATATATTCTTGAGACTAAATAAAGCAAGAAAGTCTAGTACCACTTTCTTCCGACAAATAGTTAGCGAGTTATCGTAAGTTAAATATTGAAAAAGTTATCAAGTTTTCCTCAAATATCTCAAAAAATATTAGACAAATAAAAAAATATTTTAGACAAAAGTTGTTCAAATTAACTAGTAGAAAAAAACAGTATAAAAATAAGGATTCCCATTTAAAAAACACAAGTTGACCTTCAAATGACTTTGAAAATAGAGGTCAAGGTCATTATAAGGTAGCTTACTTAAATCTCTACAACTTTTACTCAGATCATTTTCCTTGAAACTTCAATACTGAAGAGTTATTAGAGTGGTCAGTTACTTTTGGGACATCCTGTATATATACAGTCTATAAAGTAAGAGCGTGTACGGGTTAATGTATAGAAAAATTTATTTTTAATGATTTTTAAGTACATGGATTTGTTGTACTCCATGAGAAGAAAAATGCTATACCATTAATAATGAGTCCAGTCACCACCGGCATTGATAATTGCCTGGCATCTCCGAGGCATACTTTCCACTTAGTTGACTGCGCATTCGTTCGATAAAGACCTCCAAATGAGATGAATTTGTCGTGTCAGTTGCTTCAAAGTGCACACTTTTTTTCCTCAAAGCTTGTGCTTGATATATGCCCACACATTTTCAATGGGATTTGCATCTGGCGACTGCGATGGCTAATCAAGTGTGACGATGCCAGACTGCTCTTTTCATTCGGTGCAAAGCTTGCTCTGGTGTTTTGGGTCGTTGTCTTCCTGTAAGATCCAGTCCTCGTTTTTTTGATGAAGCATCGTTCAGCAGTCGGCAACAAATACTTCTCATAAATTTTAAGCATTTTCGGAGCATTTAAATTGTATGTAAACAGATGTAACGCTCCAAAACCCTGTTTCGAAAAGCAGCCCCACAGATGAACTTTTATAGAGTGTTTAACAGTCCGTTGTATTAATCTATTGGTCAAGGTTGACCAGGAACGTCGGATGGCAATATATCCCCAAACAGAAGCTTCGTCCGTAAAGATCACGTTGCTCCAATCTCGGTCCAACTTCTCTTTTGCCCAAGCAAATCTTTTCGTCACATGTTTTTCGTCTAACAGTGATTTCTTCATTGTGCTTCGATATTTGAGGTTATGCGCAAGGAGGTGGATTTGAATAGTTGTATGTGATACTTCTATATCCTTCTGTTTTAATTTTGCTGCTCTTTGTCGCAATGTTAAGGTCGGGTTCCGCTTAAACAAATTCACAATTTTTTTTTCCATATTCGGTGTCACTTTGCCTATCAAGCCACGTTCTGGCAAGTCATCGACATTTTTTATCTTCTTATATTGCTGAACCCACTTAGCGACGAACGATTTTGACTTTCCCATGTATTTAGCAGCCACTGCATATGACATTTTTGGTCCTTTGGGGTTGGAACAAAGGAACACAACCTCGTAGCGCGATGCGTATGCGGAACTCATGACGGTTAACGTGTTTCTCAGGTTAGAGTTCGACGCCAACTGAATCTTTTGTGACAAAGCATTCACGACAAAGATTTCATCTATCGGCTCACAAAAGAACTAGGACGATATTTGAAACCAACTGCCATTTATGTACACGCTCTTACTTTACAGACTGTATATACAGGGTGTTTGATAGCTGATCATGCAGACGAAAGATGGAGATAGATTAGGTGTAGCCGAGAAGAAAAGTCACGTATCATAATGTCAAATTGGCAATAGTTACCGAGTTATTAATTAGCTTTTTCTTTATAGCTTTTTCCTTATAGCTCGCTCGCTCCTCGTCGTTCGCGCTCGCTCGCTCTTCGTCGCGCTCGCTCGCCTCTTGTCGCTTGCGCTCGCTCGCTCCTCGTCGTTCGCGCTCGCTCGCTCCTCGTCGCGCGCGTTCGCCTCTTGTTGTTTACGTTGCCCCTCGCCGCGCGCGCTTGCCTCCCGACACTCTCTGACTCCGCCTGTATCAAATGTCTACGTGCTTACTGCGGCCGCCCTCCGCTCTCTACGCGCTCGTTGGCTCACATGTTTTAATTAATAACTCGATAACTATTACCAATTTGACATTATGGTACATGACTTTTCTTCTCGACTACACCCAATCTATCTCCAACTTTCGTCTGCATGATCAGCTATCAAACACCCTGTATATTATGAGTTTATTATTATATTAAAAAAAAAAAAATATATATATATATACAGGGTGTTTGATAGCTGATCATGCAGACGAAAGTTGGAGATAGATTGGGTGTAGTCGAGAAGAAAAGTCATGTACCATAATGTCAAATTGGTAATAGTTATCGAGTTATTAATTAAAACATGTGAGCCAACGAGCGCGTAGAGAGCGGAGGGCGGCCGCAGTAAGCACGTAGACATTTGATACAGGCGGAGTCAGAGAGTGTCGGTAGGCAAGCGCGCGCGGCGAGGGGCAACGTAAGCGACAAAAGGTGATCGCGCGCGACGAGGAGCGAGCGAGCTTTTTCTTTATAGGTTTTTCCTTATAGCTCGCTCACTCCTCATCGTTCGCGCTCGCTCGCTCTTCGTCGCGCTCGCTCGCCTCTTGTCGCTTGTGCTCGCTCGCTCCTCGTCGCGCGCGTTCGCCTCTTGTTGTTTACGTTGCCCCTCGCCGCGCGCGCTCGCCTATCGCCACTCGCTGACTCCGCCTGTATCAAATGTCTATGTGTTTACTGCGGTCGCCCTCCGCTCTTTACGCGCTCGTTGGCTCACATGTTTTAATTAATAACTCGATAACTATTGCCAATTTGACATTATGGTACATGACTTTTCTTCTCGGCTACACCCAATCTATCTCCAACTTTCGTCTGCATGATGAGCTATCAAACACCCTGTATACAGGGTGATCCGAAATTCGCGCATGCGGAGTATGGGACATGATACTTTATACTAAAATAAACAACTTTTTCCTGTAGCAAAATTGCGTCCGACAAGTAGTTTTTGCAGAAGAGCATGTTAAAGTTAACGAATAAGCGCTCTTGTCTATACACAGTCTGTCCCAGATACGATGAGACTGGTTCCATCAAAGTTCTTAGCGCAGCGATATCTATGAGTGAATGATGGTAGGTGACTGTTCTACCCTTCATCTACTTAACCTCAAAATTTGAGCGAATTCGGTTGATATTTCACTGTGGTTTGACATTTTATGTAAAGTTACTTTGTGTACGTCGGTCGAAAAACCAACATGGAACATGTTTTAAATTGGGTAAAAGTGGTGCAGAAACGTACGAAACGCTAAAAAATGTGTACGGGGATGAGCATGTCCGGTGCACAGGTTTTCCGTTGGTTTGGTCGATTCCGTGACGGTCGTGAGGACCTTGCAGACGATGACCGAGCACCGCCGCCAAAAACCACTCGCAATGAAGAAAACATCGAGAAAGTCGAAGAAATTCTTCGAAGCGACCGCTGTGTGTCTGCCCAGATATTATCTGGGACTCCTACAACGATTGTGGGCCAGAATTCGACGAGTTCGACCGGAATATCGAGAGCTAGGCAGTTGGTTTTTGTTGCACGATAATGCACTATCGCACAAAGCCATCATGATACGTGAATTCTTGACCAAAAAAGGCATCATTGTTATCGATCATCCACCGTATTCACCTGATTTGGCTCCTTGCGACTTCTGGCTATTTCCCAAACTGAAATTGGCGATGAAAGGAAATCGTTTCGATACCATCCCGGTCATCCAAAAGACTTCGACCGCCATACTAAAGGCCATTCCAGCCGATGAGTATAAAAAATGTTTCGAAAAATTTGTTGAATGTTTCCAGCGCTGTATTGACTCAGAAGGAGACTATTTTGAATAAATAAGAATAAAAAATCAAAATAATAAACGCTTTGTATTTTTTTTAGACCAGTCTCATTGGATCTGGGACAGACTGTGTATAGCGCTCAGGATCGGCGTGTATGCCTTATTCGCGTGTACCTAATCAGTGACTAGTATTCATAAGTAGTCTTTTAATATGCTCATACGGCTCTGTTGTAATTAGTTTACGACATCTTAAGACTGTACTTAAGACAATCTTAAATAATAAGAATCAACTATAAACTAAATAATACCGGGATTTCACAATTCGCAAAGCATATTATTAGTTACATTTATTTTTATTTTCAGATGATATTGTGCAATCAGATAATTTTTTATTTATTTATTACGTAATAAATAAAGTAATTATTTTATTAATTTTGCATTATTTAAGCAATACAATACGGAAGAAAGTCAAATTCCGATATTGTCCATAATTGATTCTTATTATTTAAGATTGTCTTAAGTACAGTTTTAAGATGTAAACTAATCACAATAGAGCCGTATGAGCGTCTTAAAAGACATTACTTATGAATACTAGTTACTGACTAGGTACACGTGAGTAAGGCGCGCGCGCCGGTCCTAAGCGCTACATAGACAAGAGCGCTTATTCATTAACTTTAACACGTTCTCCTGCAAAAACTACTTGTCGGACGCAATTTTGCTAAAGGAAAAAGTTGTTTATTTTAGTATAAAGTATCATGTCCCATACTCCGTATGCGCGAATTTCGGATCACCCTGTATATGCAATATAACATAATATATATATATCAATATATATATTAATATAATAATAAATTCATATAATTGATATAATAGTAAGACTCATTATATTTCTTTCAAACACAAATTATCTTACTGCTTGTATATGTAATATCTATTATTAGAGGTAAAATTGTAATTTCTATTATGTCTTTTAATTGTAATTGTAATTGCTTATAATTAGTGGCTTACTTTCCAGTTCGTAATAATCCTTGATGTAAACCTTATAATGTTTCTGCGTAACGCGCATTGCGCACTGATCTTTGTCTAATCGCAAGATGCTGTTTACCAACTGATTCATCTCATTTTTCTCTTCGTGCCACATTGTGGCACATGCATAAATTCTCGTGACTCGGTCCTTGCGCTTACTACCTGTTATGTCCAGATCAATATTGCCCAGGTCCTGTTCAATTATTCCATCACTTAAACTTATATCAATAGTTTCACTTTTCAGGACACCGTTCTGAAATTTTAATTAGTTGGTAACAAATAGAATAATGTCAATAAGTACATGAAATTTTTAAAAATAAGTTATTAAATAATGATTTCTTTAACTTCTTACTGAAAATTTAGTATTATCGTTGATCCTCTTATCATCTTCATTAATATTTTCATACTGTGTTCTTCTATTCAAAGCTAAACATTGATCAATCATAAGTGAATCGTAAATGATCGTGGAGAATATTTTCTCTACTTGCGCTAATCTTTCATTTTCGGTGGTCCACAAATGCATCGTGATCCATATTTGTGATAACAGCCATATTGGCCAGCACCAAACATACCAGCTGGAGAAGAACTCGGTCCAATCTTTAAACGTAGTATCTCCGAAGAAAAGATAATCCGGTACAAGATTATAAAAGGCACAAGTGTCTTTATTCCTGGCAATGCATATTGCTACGATCAAACACATTGTTCCAAGACTGACTAAACTCGTTGGAAATGCGAAACCAAATTGATGCATTTGACTTCTGTAGGCGAATTTACCTGAAACCATTGAAATCTAAGGATTTTATTTCTCTCGGATATTCTTTAAACATTTTTGGGTTCTAGTAGCGGAGAAGATAATATTATGGCCCTTGTAGATATTATGGCCATTCTCAATGTACCCGTTATTAAGTAGTAATTTCAGTTATTTATAGAATGATTTGTTTAATAGTATGCTGTTAGTGCAGTAATACTAATATATCAGTAGATCAGTACACAACAGCTAGCAATTTTTATAACGTATTTTTATTTTCAATTATTTCGAAATGTTTTTTAAGATGTTATATATTGCGCTATAGTGCGTTATATAGTGCGCTACCCCTCACGCGTTGTGCTGTGCTACCGGATTGCGTTCCTGGCATCATTGACAAGGAGAGTGTCACAACTGTCCCTCACTGATTTGAATGGGCTTCGGATATGTTGTAGAGCATCAAAAACTAAGGGATACATATTTTTTTATATCGGCTTCGGAACATGTTTGAGGGATGAAACCACCCCTTGAAAAAAATAGCTGTTATCGTTTTTATCAAATATTTTCTAAATTATGAGTCATATGAAAAAAAGTTTCAGACAAAAGTTTTACAATATTTTATGCTCTTTGCAACCATGTATTTTTAGTATGTAGTTTTTTAAAATTTCAAATGTTGAACTACTCCCCCCCTTCTCGTTCTACTCTGGCAAAATTTTTAAGTTTTTGTAAGGACAAAAATTGTAGAGTATTAAATACCAAATCCATCCATATATAATATTAGAAAATGGCATTTAATATTTTAGACAAAACGCAATGAGAAAACTTCATGGTATATGTGCCGCTCTGCCCGAGTAGATAGATATTATAGGTATAGATAGTTACGCTGTGATATTTCTCTGCAATTGCACTATGCTTCACAACTGCTTGTGCATATTTTCTTATGCTATAATTAATCGTAATGATATGATATTAATCTCACGATGCTCGATTGTGTTAATGATTTTCTATATGTTAACTTATGAAGTTGTGCACGGAGTTCTGCATGGCAACCTTCATGATTTCGACAGAAACAATAACACTAACAATTCAAAATCATGAACGTTATCATATAATGTTCCATATGCAACTTCATAAAAGTTAGCGTATAGAAAATTATTAACACAATCGTGAGACCAGTCCTTTACACAAAATAAACTTGTGAACAGAGATAAATCGCATATATAACAACGTAGCAAATGCGTGTGGGGCGCGCTATTTGTACAGAAATTTCAAATGTATATTTTCTGAATTATCTATCCATAATCAAAATACTCGATAGATTATAATGTACCATCCTGTTTACAAACAGAGTTTTCGAAATATATTTTAAGTCTTTCTGCCATCTGGTACTCGTCACTCGTCCTTGATTTTTGAACGTGGTCGCACGCCAATAATAGTCAATGTTTATTATATCTCTTATCGCACGCTAATAATGGTTATTGTTTATTATTGAACCATGTGCTCGATTTCATTGCGACTGTCTGTGTTTGATTCAGTTGGTGAACGATTACTTTGTTGAAGTTGTTTTTCTTGGCGAATCTGCGTTGCTCCTTATTTTTGTTTAACCTACAGGTGAACCACGTTTGTTATCGAAGCCATTGGGCGCTGTAGGGTTTTGACTTTTCACACATAATACTTGCAAATAGCGGGGCTTCGGCGTTTACTGTTGGTGAGTAACGTTTATCTAGTCATGAAAACACTCAACTTTCGTTGACCGGATTCGGACGGAATATTTTATAAATCCTTCATTGTTACAAATAAGGACTCTACACAGACAAGTTTCGAATAACACAAACTTATATATTGGGTTGACAACTAAGTGATTGCGGATTTTGTCGACAGATAGATTTTACACTTTCTTTTGTTTCGTTAACGTGTTCATTCGGGAAATTGTTTAAATATAATTAAATAAAATAATATTTAATTTGACATAATTATATATGGTTATATATATAATCTCATATATAAATATATGTAATTATATATAACAATTTATATATAATTTTATATCTTTATATATAATAATATGCGAACATATTTTATATATAATTATATATAATTATAAATTATATATAATTATAAGTTAAACATTTATTTCTGAGCATTTATAATGCCGTATATACAAAGCAAAGTCAACTGTGTTGCAGTACATCAAAAACAATTTATTTATACTTTACTTCTATAAATAAATTTTGTTTTCGTTTCGCATGAAACGGTATCATGTGATCGTCATGCGCACTATAATTAGCTCATCTGATCGTATTGCGCACTATGCAGACTATAAAAATGTCTGTAATATTTGGAAATGGGCAGTTCATTTCATGAGTTCATAGTGTAAAGAAGTGTGTTATACACTATAATTTTGTGAAATTATGTAAGTATTTATTGTATTGTATTATTGTCTTACGCTTGTCATTCTTCATATTTATATTATTTAAATTATTATACACTTTGTGGAGTTATTAATATTATAATATACAGAAGACCGGAGCAGCATTAAACAATAGTTAAATTTTAATATTTTGTAGAATGATTCCATTTAACCCATGGAATGTTATACTGTTGCTATATGCAACATTCACTGCTCGTAACCTTCTACAAACTCCGGTAACTTCGGAAGAAATGGAAGTGAAGGAGAAGATTATAAATATGCTCACAGACATGAAAAATAAAATGGACATTCTAATAGAAGAGGAGAAAACACTTGATTTCTATGATACAAATGAGATCTCACAGGCGGAAAGAGTTGATTTGTTGGAGCATGATGAAGATGAGGATTATCTTTCAGAAGAAGTTATTTGTACTGATGTTGAAGCAGAAATATCAAGTGACTATAAAAGGAAGGCTGTGGAATTCTAAAAGAGCGGTAAAATAAGACCAAGAACGATTGAAGGAGTTAGACGAAGGTACAAAAAAGTTACATCAATTCGACAATTACGACGATGGGAGGACTATATCAATGCAGGTGGTAGCAGAAATGAAAAATTAAAAGCAATTTCTGAATATAGACTAAACCGTTTCGCTGAAGTACTTGAAAAAGGAGTCATTATTCATGATATTAACATTGCTTGGTGGGGTAATGGAGCACAAGAAGAGAAAAATATGCCTGGATTCATAGCATCACCTAGCTGGGTACAAAGATTCAAAAAGAAACATAATATTGTGTCTAGGAAAATAACCAAATTTGTCACGAAAAAATCCTGTTATCCAAATCAGAGTTAGAAAATAAATGCGATACATTTATTACAAATGTCAAATATTATATTGATCGATACGGGGTGGAAAATATTTACAATTCAGATCAAAGTAGGTTCCAATTAGAACTTCATACCGGTCGTACCTTAGCACAAAAAGGTACAAAGAAAATGGAATCCGTAGTGCAATCTGTATCAGCAACCACGCATAGTTATACTATACAGCCAACTATTTCCGTTGATGGTAGATTATTGTCGCTTCTGTTAATTGTATTAAAAGAATCAACAGGAACGTTCGGTCCACGAGTACAGGAAAATTTATTCAATGCTCCTAATATTTTTGTAATGGCTTCCAAATCAGGTAAAATGACATCAGATTATATGAAAACCTGATTGAGAGAAATATTTTTTCCGAATGTCGGACCACAATCCGTATTATTATTAAATTCATGGAGTGGACATTGTCCCAATATAAATCAGGAAACTAGATCGGATTTTGCATCAGATATTGTTTTCCTAACTATTCCGGCCGGTACAACGGGAAAAATACAACCATTAGATGTATATGGCTTTCGATTATGGAAAAATTTTATTAAACATTTTTCTGATATTGTAATGCTATTAGACCTTGCAATTGATCTTCATGTTAGAAACAATATTTTAAAACTGCAGTCATTAACGCACCATCAATTCTCGTCACCCAGGTTTCACAATTTATTTAAATATGCGTGGTTTAAAAGTGGATATTTACAGAGTAGGCCAGGCGAATTCGAAACACCGGTTGAGTTTTGTTTCCAAAATGATTCTAAAATAAAATGCGATATTTGTGGCAAAACTGCCATAATTATTTGCTCTTGGTGCAAAAAATCACTTTGTATCACACATTTTTTCCATAATCACCACCTTTACAACGAATATGTGCCACAAACGTAACATTTATTTTTCGTTTATATGCAAATACTATATTGATTTGTTTATTACTATTGTGAAATATATATAATAACGTGTTATTGTTCTATAATTTATTGTATTGTTCCTCTCTATCCTATAAATTATTACTCCATAATTTTTGTTAAGCCCTTCGTTATGTTTCATTCAGCAATTAATAAAATATATTGTATTGTCACACTACACGCTTGCAGAGGTAACATAACGTCGGCCTAATTAAAAAACCTCTTAATTCCAATTTTTGACAAAATTAAGACTCATTTTATTCGACCAAAGTCGACGAGATAAATCGAACAAAATAAGTATCTTAATTTTGTCAAAAATTGAAGTTAGGAGGTTTTCTAATTAGGCTGATGATAATGTGTTTCATTATTTCACGTGCATTGCATGAAATACTTTTTTAATCATTTTAATTATCCTTAATCGACCCTTACCTTTCAGATTGTAATGAACATAAATTTTACACATTAAATGAAGAAAATATACATTTGGAGCTTTTGTACAAATAGCGATGCTGCACACACATTTACTACTGTTATATATGCAAATTATTCTATTGTTCACGTTTTCATCAAGCATTTTTATTTCGTGTAATATTGTATATCATATAATTACGATTAATTGTAGCATAAGAAATATGCACAAGCAGTCGTGAAGCGTAGTGCAATTGTAGAGAAATATCACAGCGTAACTATCTATACCTATAGTATCTATCTACTCGGGCAGAGCGGCACATATACCATGAAGTTTTCTCATTGCGTTTTGTCCAAAATATTAAATACCATTTTCTAATATTATATATGGATGGATTTGGTATTTAATGCTCTACAATTTTTGTCCTTACAAAAACTTAAAAATTTTGCCAGAGTAGAACGAGAAGGGGGGGAGTAGTTCAACATTTGAAATTTTAAAAAACTACATACTAAAAATACATGGTTGCAAAGAGCATAAAATATTGTAAAACTTTTGTCTGAAACTTTTTTTCATATGACTCATAATTTAGAAAATATTTGATAAAAATGATAACGGCTATTTTTTCAAGGGGTGGTTTCACCCCCTAAACATGCTCCGAAGTCGATATAAAAAAATATATATCCCTTAGTTTTTTATGCTCTACAACATATCCGAAGCCCATTCAAATCGGTGAGGGACAGTTGTGACACTCTCCTTGTGAGTCTATAATTGATTAAATAACATATATGTGACAAATGTAATCATTCAGTTCTCACTTTAAAATATTGATTATTGACAAAGTTATCGTACAAAATGTGAATGAAGACCCATAATATCACCTTCTCTTCTATTATTTGGATTGATGTAAAGTTCTCTTATAATGTAATTTCAGTAGACTCGTCTATGTAAACAAGTACTTACAAGCCTGGTACACAATTATGGCACAGATAGATTGAATCACCAAAACATAAAGAGGTATAGAGCTGTTTGTAACTAGAAAATAAGAATTTTCTTGCAATATGATATTGATAAAGTAAGTGAGAATGATATGATCCTGAAAGCCGTTTTTCATAACTGGAATTAGCTTAATCTTACATATTTCGTGAAATTTAGGTGAGAAGAAGTCTTGAGCGTTTATCCCATTACACATACTGACGGTAAGAGCGCCTGCGATGAAAATAAACGTTCTCCAAATGGATACTCCTCCTTGTATAATGTGTTGGCCTGCTTCAAGATTCTTTTTCACAGATGACAAGTAACGCACTAGACCTATTCCAATAATTAAAAATAAAATATTTCGGACAAGATATCCTACTTTGCTATTTACGATAATTACGCCGCAAAGATCTCGATTGACTACGATAAATTAAATCCGTTTCATGGAAAAATAAGTATAAAAATACATGATAAAAAGTAGATTTTGTATATTATGAGAGATACATTATCATTATTTGACATATGTATTGTTGATTCGTCGGTTTAAGACAGAGCTCGGCAAAATGTGCACGCGACGGCCGATTTTCGACTATCTCCGCCCACCGCTATTCCCTTTACCTCGCCGCTCCGCGCGCTGCCCACAAGTCGCTCGAGCCTCAAGAGCGTGTTCCCAATAGTTTTCACGTCACCCATAAGGTATTATTGTTGACGCGTTTTTTTTTAAGTGGTATCCCCAGTAGGCCTCTTCATTTTTCAAAAATGAAATTTATAAAAAATGAGAAGTGTTCTTCTTTAAGCGACGATTCCTTACCACGTCTTATGCGGCTCGCTACATGCAATATCCAAATTAACGTTTCCACTCTTACCAATAAAAGACGTCGAAAATCGAACTGAATATTCTTCATTTAACATATTTTATTTCGCTTCTGTTCAGTTAGTTACGGGTTGTTACAGTCATCAGTGGATTAGGCTTACTGGGGATACCACTTAAAAAAAAAAACGCGTTTACAATAGTACTTCATGGGTGACGTGGAAAACTATTGGAAACACGCTCCTGAGACTCGAGCGGCTTGTAGGCAGCACGCGGAGCGACGATGTAAAGGAAAGCGGTGGGCGGAGATAGTCGAAAATCGGCCGTCGCGTGCACATTTTGCCGAGCTCTGGTTTAAGATAATGCAAAGCTCTTTCTTGATCTTCATAATCATTGTCTTCATAAACTAAAAGATTCTTTTATGAAAATTTATGGAAATAAATTTTTAAAAAGATAGAGTTATTTAATTCATAACAATTGAATATCTCTAAATAATTCAAACGTACCGATATTGCTGTAGGACGATACAAAATTACCCCACCAACGACTCGAGCATAGCAGCAATGCAATGGGAAAGACCCATGTAGAAGTTTTATGAACGTCATGCTCAATCAAGGGCCATAAAAACATTCCACTGAGTTGTGCAATCAATGACAGCACATCGCAAATGATAAACAATGTAAACTTCTTTGCCGTTAAATTCCGATTCTTTCTGTTTTGCGAAAGTAAATCTGTTGAAGATATTAATAATGTTAAGATTTAACAATTAAATCAGCGAGTGGAAGATAGGAATGAAATAATAACATTTTTCATCGTTCTAAGTTGTACTAAGATTATTAACGTATACTTTTGGTCTTGTAAAATTAAATTGAAGCAAAATATTTACCGATTAAACTTACTTAATAATGCTGGTATGAAGCAGAGGCAACAGAAAATAGCAGCACCTTGCACTGCGCCAATATCCGGTAGAATAACAAAAGTCAACAACACTAGTCCGATCGTATGTCCTGTTTCTATCATTATGAGAAGTAGAATACTTTGGATTGTTGGCATTTCAGGTTTCTTCTTAAAGAAATAATGCCATAAGGCGTCTAATAGCCCGATGCATTCCGGCACAAGAAATATCAAAATCAGACACCAAGTCCATTCTATACGGCCATCTTGAATATGTTCCATTATATATCTATGTCCTTCAATCTCTAAGAAAATCAGTAGTTTTATATGAACAAATATCTCTGATAAGAATGTTTACCGAAATAGAATGATAATGAAATGTAAGATAGAGTTGTAACATAATACTACAAACTAACGATAAGATAAGGTTCAATAACATAATTTCTTTCAATAATAGATCAAAATACTAAGTTTCTTTTCTTGTTAATTTTAATTTTCATAAGTTGTATTTCATTCGATATTTCATAATTTAATCGAAATTTCATGAATTTCGAACTTCATAAATACAAAAATTTAAGATTCTACAAATTTTATATTACCAAAAGAAGATTCTATTACATTGGAAAATCTGAAAGCTATTGTATAAAAAAATATTTTACAAATATTTATATAATTTCTGAATCATATAATTAAAATTCTACCTAGATTATAATCGCAATGAGGCAATAATCGAATCTTCTGCAAATGCGATGTCGCAAATAGAACAATTGATTTAGCTGCAACAGCACCACAAAAAACTATAGCGAATAGCAAGCCGTAAACAAATATTTTTATTGTCCAAATGATCTTATCCAAAAAATGATTATTCTGCATAGACCCATCTCTCGAAGGCGCAGGAAAAGTTTTGAACAAGTCCCATGGTGCAAGATCTTTCTGCGAACTGGAATATGCATAATTAGAAGGCTATAACTTTTACATTATCTTACTTTTTACATTTTTACTCTTATTTTTACTTTTTCAACTTTCTTAAAAATTTTCTTTTTGTTACTTTTTCTTTTTTTTTCGTACGCAACGCATACGAATATATTTATCTACTTTATAAGTTTCAATTTTCCCCAAATAAAATTATACTATTTTATAAGAAGTAAACTCTTTTTTCAATACTTTGTAAATAAAATAAACAAATTAAAAGATTACAATTTATCTTTATTTTTTTACAAAATATAAACTTCAAAGTTAACTCCACACAAGTATATTAAGCCTAATAATGCGATAATTGATATCTTTATAGAATATTTACCTTAGTCAATATTTATAAATATTTAGTACTTAGTTTATAAATATTTAGTATTTAGTTCAATATATTTAGTATTTAGTTCAATAGTAGTATTTAGTTCATTAGTACAAGTCAAAATAAAAATCTTATCACATATACCAGGCAGAGAGAAGCCTAAGAGCGGGCATGGCTGCATTTTCAGCGTTATGGAAAAGTTGGCTGATTCGCAGCGCCAACTGGGTCCATTTTTCATGGACATGAACTACTAAGCCAATGTCCACGATTTGTTGGTACTATTCCGTGCTATGTCCATAATTATTTGGTTCTGTTCTGTGCTATGTTCACGAGCGAGCTAGATTAGTTAGATAAAAACGAAGAATCGGTCTTTGTCTCACCACCAGCGAATAGACAATCGCGACGAAGCGAGCCAGCAGCGATGTTATCGTAAGGCAGACGTCGCCGTCTCCCCTTTCACCCCCTTATTTTCCTTTCCACATTGTTTTATATTCATAATTCGGGAAGAAAATAATTTCGAGAGTTCGGACGATTTCTAGCAATGACGCGACAGAGATAACACGCGGCCACATTAATTTGTCATGACTTTTATATTACTTATAATTACATAAACGCCCATATATGCAAATTATAGATAATTATTGCGCGTATGTTTTAATATTGTACAATATAGTATATAATAACAACAACTTCATTTCTTGCAGTAATTTTTTTAAGATCTTCGTTGAGGTCGTGAATTAATTTTTTTCTTCATCAATCAGTTTTCTGCAAAAATTACGATTTTTTAAATAAAATATAAAATGTTTCTCTTCTCCTCTCTCCGAAGAGTTAATTAAAAAATATGTACTCCACAGAGTCAACTAACAAATGTGTAGTCAGAAGAGTCAATTCAAAAGTGTACTCCGAAAAGTCAATTTAATAGCGTATTTCGAAGAGTCAATTTTAAAGCGTACTCTGAAAAATCAAATTATCAAATAATATCAAATAATATTGTAATCCGAAAAGTCAATTTATAATAGAATATTTACTTCGATGATTCAGCTAAAGAAAAAAACATTTATTTATTATTATATTCAGAGAATAATATTTAATTTATTATTTATACTTATCTTACTTATGCTTACCCTACATATGCTTCTTTGAATGAAAAATTTAATTTGTTGACTGATTCAGATTCAGATTTGTTAAAATATCTCTTATGCGCAACTCTTTAACAGGTAGGTAGTAAAATAATTTTTTTCTTTACGAATTTTATAAACTTTTCACGAACATAAAAATTGAAAGATTCTCAGAGGACAAATAACTTTTCTTGGACATTTAAACCAAAGGAAAATATTTTCCCATTAATAAAGAATGAATAATTAATATCTCACACAAGAGGAATCTTCATCCTTGAAATCACCGCGCGATTTTGCTTTTAGAAAAGTATAATATTGATGTAATAGTAACAAATGCTATCCAAAAACGGTGCAAATCTTAAACGTTTTTGAGAAATGCAGTTTGAAGTTTAGTCTTTTCTGTTAATGTCGTTATAGCAGAAGAATTACCAATTTGCTTTAGTAGCGCAGTGGATCAGGCTTTGTGATATGAGCGTAGAGGTTGTTCAAGTGTGTTATTTTTACTATCACAGGGAGAACTGTGTAGAATGTATAATAATACGCAGACAAATTCTTTACATAATCATACTTATTTCTTTTAGCATGAATAAAAATGATCAGTGCTAACGTGATAAGTGTATATCGCAATTGTACGTGTACGCAATTGTACACATACACACACATATACACACGTATACCAATGATGTCAAAACCGAACAATTCGTGAAAATTTTTTATTGATCGCAATTGTACGCAAAGACGAAAGAGAAGTACACGGGTCTCCGCGGGTATCTCGTCATATTAATTGTCTATGAGCTGATAAACAATTGATCTCCGGTATTTACAAGTTACGCTTGTCCGCAGCTTGTCCGCAGCTTGTTCGGTTTTGACATCATTGGTATCAGTGATGCGAATTTGGTGACGGGCTTGCACGAGGATTCTCCTCCCCCCCTCCATATATGTACACAGTCAGCTCGGTCAATCCGTGTGAGCCACGCGATCGGCAATTGTCGACGCGCCGAGCGAGCGAGAGAGAGAGTGAGAATATCATTCCCTCCTTGTCGCTCTCGAGCCCTCGTTCTCGCTCAGCGAGCGAGCCTAATTCTTTCTTACCCATAATCTGAATCGCGGGCGCGACTGTCTCTCTCTCCTTTCCTCTCTATGACAATACTGAAAAGTTTTGTCTACTCGGCGCACTGAAATTATTACAAATAATATTTTATTATTTAATAATATTATTATTTGTAATATATATTATTTGTAATATTATTATTTGTAATTTTATTTGTAATTGTATAATAAGGTTACAAATAATACAAATTTTTACAAATTTTATTTGTAAAAATTTATATCATTCGTAATATTATTTGTAATAGTATTAATAATATTCGGCGCCAAGAAAATGAAATATATTTTATTAATTATTTTGCGGAGTCGGGCAGGTTCACAGGTTTGATTATTGAATTGTTTAATAATATTTTAAGAATAATTTTAAGTTATACAAGGATGTAGTATGAAATATAAAAGAATATTGTAACAGAATCAAGAAGTACGAAATGAAACCTCTTTGCTTTTATTACAATATCCTGTAAGTTAATAAATATTTTTCATACAGTATTAAATAATCTCCAAAAACAATTACATGAACCGTGAATACCGTGAAATTTTCTATCTGCGCAAAAAAAATTCATAAAATATATTTGTTTCGTTGCCCTAAATGAGAAAACTCTCAGAACAATGTTATAGTTGTTCAATGCACTACTCAATAAAAATATAATAATACTATGTTTGTATGTGTGAAGAATATTTGCTAACTTACAGGATATTGTAATAAAAGCAAGGAGATTTTATTTCGTACTTCTAAGGCCAAGACTTATTAACGGCTAAAGACATATTCGAATTGATCTTGCCTTAATTGGTCGGATCAGTGATCGGTCTTGCCTTAAGTTCCAAGCCTCATAACTCGGAAAGTACTCGATGAAATGTAACTTTGTTAGAGTGTTTTGGAATGCTCTCGAGATAAGCTACAAGAATATGTAATAAAAAATCGTAGTTTCTATTTAAAAAAACATTAATGACCTTGGCCTGATTTTGACAAGGTCACTTCACTCAAGGTCAAGTCCACATTTCCGTTATGTGTCGTCCTTCAAGCCATGCAACTTTCGTTCGAAAAATTTTTTAATAAAATAACATAAATTTTTACAAGTAAAATTTATCATTATTTATTAGAAGATTGAGTTATATGGTTATATGGTTATATATATTATATATTATATATTATATATTATATGGTTATTTTACTTGTTATTGTAACAAATTAATTATTATAACAATGCAATAAAAAATATTTAATACATAAAATCTTGGCGCGGCTGCACCAAAAACTATATCGAACTAAAACTTGTTTAATACATGACACCATTTTTATTATAATATATTCTATAATGAAGGTTTATAATTTATTTATTATAATACTATATAAACTTAAATAGAACATTATGCCGTATATGTATAAAGAGAATTTACAAGAACATTTTATTATAATAAAAATGCTGTCATGTATGTATTAATCAAGTTTTAGTTCGATAGTTTTTGATGCAGCCGCGCCAAGATTTTTTGTATTAAATATTTTTTATCGCATTGTTATAATAATTAATTTGTTACAATAACAAGTAAAATTACCATATAACTCAGTGTTCTAATAAAGAATGATAAATTTTACTTGTAAGCTAGGTTTTCTTGAATATTTTGAATAACATAACTTTTAAAAATACATTTTTTTGAATATTGGACACTATTAACAAACATGTAAAATTTTTATAACGCGATATAATTTTTACTTTTAAAAATTTATGTACATATATTACATAATATATATCTTAAAAAAGAAGATAATTTGAATTTGAGATTTCTAAAAATATTAAGTTAAGTATACAATAATCATATATATATATGTTAGGTTTCTCAGTTGGCGCTACTATTCTAATATATCACTTCTTACAGTACAGTAGAATAGTGTTGCAGAGTTTTATTATAGTTATAAGTTTTACTTGTAAAAAAACTTATGTACACATATATACATTAAAAAAAAATAATTTGAGTTTGATATTTCTAAAAATAACACAATACGTGTTGCGCTTGTACTTGGCGCCTTTTTTTACCTTTTTGTTTAAAAAGGTAAGTTTTATAATAAATTTTACAATTGTAAAAATTTATGTTACGTACATCTTTTGTCGTTAGGTTTCTCTTGAATAATAATAACTTTTAAAAAGATATTTTTTTGAAATATTGGATACTGTTTAGGATTCGATTATAATTTGAACGGGGAGTCGTTCGGTTTAGTTCGACAATACCGGGAACGACCTGCCTTTGTCTCGTGTAATGAGTTCTGTTATTATACTTGAACTGTTCTATCATAAACTCGTGCCATTAGGTCATTGGCGGTCGTCTCCCCACTCGATAAAGAAAAACGAAGATATATTTCACACGCGGCGCGGAACGCTCTCGATCTTTTTCGATCGTTATCCGTATTTCGTTGGTTACGTTTTGGAG